CAACTGACGCGTAGGATGGACGCGGCAATGTCACGTGGGCGTCGCTGGGAGGCACGGCAGCAACTTCAGGGTACGTGGGTATGGGGCGTAAAGCATGTGGCTGTACGGGCGCAGAGCCTGTCAGGGATGTAAGTTCCTCCCTGATGATGTCACGTAAGGGCATTCCCGAAGGCTGTGTAGGTCGTGGTGTAGGAGGTGTGAAGCCCATGGACCGCAATTCTTCGCGTATAATGTCCCGGATGAGGTCGCGCAGGTGGCCATCTGACGTGGAGTGGTGGTCGCCAATGTCTGGTTGGAGGCGAACGGAGTCCAGCGCATCAAGGCGCTGGCATGTCGTCACGACATCAGCGATGGTAGCTGGGTTTTGCACAGCGAGTGCATTAAAGGCAACAGGCCCAATGCCTTTCAATACGTGGCGCACTTTGTCCGATTCCGGCATGGATTGATTGACACGCCGGCACAGTGCGAGGACATCCTCGATGTATGATGTGTACGATTCACCGGGATGTTGTCGGCGAGTATCAAGTGTCCTCTTCGCGACGGCGGATCGAATGTCTGGGGTGCCAAAAACGTGTCGCAGCTGCTGCTGGAAGGTATCCCAGTCGGGTAAGTCAATGACGTGGTTAAAATACCATGTCTTTGCGACTCCGGTCAGATAAAATGGGACGTAACGCAGTTTGGCGGCCTCGTCCCACCGATTAGCGACACTTACGCGGTCGTAGTCGTCGAGCCAGTCTTCTACGTCTTCTCCACGACGACCAGCGAAGAGCGGGGGTTCCCGCTGATGTCCGTGTATGTAAATAGGAGGGGCAGCTTGCGTCGGTGCATGGTTGATGACATGAGCGCCGGTAGGCTCGGTCTGGGACATGCTGCCTGACAGTGGGCGCAATCGGCGGCCTGAACGAAGCTCTAGCGGGTAGAGCGGGCTGCGGGAGGTAAGAGGACCGAAAATCCACCTCCACCACGTATGAAGTCTTGGTAGTCTGGGTTGCGACAGCGTTTAATTGAGGAAAGACCTCGCAAAACGAACGGGCAGAGCCAGTACACAGACGATGACGATGGTGATGAACCAGGGTGGCAATGAGGACAAAGAGACTAGCGGATGATGGTGATTGCGATCATGCAGGGATGAGGACAATGCAAGTAACAAATGCCCACAATATATATAAAGTGAGCGTTTCACCTATACGCTTTATGCGAACAAGATTTGTGCTATTGGCGTGCTACAAATGCGAACTCGTTCTGAGTGAGTGAGATAAGAACTACGGCAAAAGTTAGCGGAGCAGGACAAGGAAGATAGAGGCACACGTCTTGGTCATTTCCGTGTCTCTTGTCCGGTCTGCAGAAGCAGTTTTACAGTACGAAAAAAGGACGGCCCAGAAGAAGAGAAACTGTGCCCTTGTCCTGCTTCGTGTTGAAACGTTAACGAAAAAAAAAATACATGAAGGACCGAAAGGTTACACCCATGCATACTGGACTGCGCACAGTATTCAAATGCGAAGAATTTCTTTGCGTATACCGTAAACACTTTTGGTGTCTATCCATCTAGCCGCTTACGTCTAACGTCTGGGTGCACACTCGTGATCACCCCCTCAACTTGGCGTGAACCAAAATTCATATGAGAACTATAAGGTAAGATGGTACGACGAATTTGACGCGCTTATCAATTCACATGACAAATATCACAATCCCCTCACGTACGTCGTCAAACACTTGCCGCCAGACAGTGGCACATAACCGCGGGCGGTATGTGCCACAGGTGATTGAAACTTAGTATGCACCTACCTATAGGAACGATGAGAACACACATGACCAATTTCAACGCGTGATCATTAAGAAAAAACCTGACATCGGCAGCGTTGGCCAGACGAAGGCTAAGAATTATAGTCAGGGTCTTAGCCGGAATTGTGCACGACAATCAAGCATTCTATGTCAGAGCCACGCCAGGCCTCGGAACTGATTTTCAAGTAGACCCTATAATGCTCGTGAGACGTCAGTTGTGGTTGCAGTGCTGGCTATCTGATTTCATAAAGCTTACATGTGCACTCTTTTGATACAGCCGTCACGTCTGGTTAACATAAATTGTATTTAGGTGCCGTGCGCTGTAGTTGATTAATGTAGCAGTGCCCAGGGCTACCATCCATCCTCGCAAGCAGCATGCAGTGCTTCTTATCAGCTTATCGCTTTTATAGTATTTCTAGTACTCATGATCCTGCTGGAATCGTTGCGCAAATGCAAACAGCTGGTCATATAAACATCTCAAATTCTTCTGCATGTGTCTGTGCGTTCAACATTTACACACATATTTAGCGTCATTTCATAACCCGTCGCTCTATAAAAAAATTACAACGCGGTCACCTTCCCTCAGCGTGCTTCGCATAACGTCGATTCCTAAGGTACGTGGGATCTGCCGAATTTTCGCCTCATACGCGAGGAGATGTGTGAGGGGCTAACAGAGGAAGAGAGCTATAAAGGGAAACATGAGTGCAAGTAACTCACAACGCACAATCAATGAGTACAATACAGTGTATTTTACCGACATATAGGCCAGGCTCAGCATTTGCAATGCGCTTTCCGTCAGTGCACTTTCCGTCAGGCAGTGCGGGGGCAAAGAGGGAGCACCACCCCCCCCCCTTCCGAAATTTAGGTGAGAGGACAGGGGAGTGCTTTGCATAAAATTACGCCATCTCTCGCCATCTCCCGAAAAGTTTGTAAACGAAGCAGCGGCCACTAACGCTCGTGCGTTCAGGATTAAAAAAAAACAAAAAAGGAGGGGGGGGGGGCTGTACAAGCGAATTTCAAGCTGTAAACTGATCGTGGCGTGAACAGTCGTCAGCCGTCGAGTAATTCGATCATCGGCGCCCGGAGCGCTCGTCGAGAGTTTCAAAGAACTGACGATGCGTCAGGAGGACGTGTCAAGAAAATAAAAATAAAAATAAATTAAGTAGTAATAATAAAAAATAGACAAGCAGGAACACAACAACAACAACAAAAAAAGAGGCCTTACTGTATAAGTATGACCCGCGGCCGCCGACTCTTGTTACGACTTCCGAACGCCAACGGCTGCAGTTTGTCCACTGGGACGGCCGCAAGGTTTTTTTTTTTTTATCCAGCGGTCGTGCCACTGGTCTCGAGAGATCTCGCGTTTTTGGTCAATGGATGCACATTACGGCATGAACGCAACGAGCTGGTGGCATATCTCAGAGTCGGTGAGTGGTCAGAACGCTTGCGCGATGACCGCGGAACAGCACGCAAAGGACTCCGGACACGGGGAGGAGTTCTCCCCGAAGCAAAGGTATATAGAGTTAAAACGTTTCCCAGTGCTCGCTTTCCATGTTGCATTTTTTTTTGCGCGCTTAATCGATGCTGTGCTCACTCTTAGCAAGGTTATAGTATTCTATTCTAAGCAATATTTTATTAAATCCACATAGCCGCGTGTCCCAGGACTATAATTTAAGTTCATCCATCCATCCATCCATCCATCGGCGAGCATGTGCCACAGGTGATTTACAGTTTATATCTACCAACAAGAAGAGAGCAGAGTGGATTAGGGGACAAACGGGGGTTAAGGATATCATATATAGTTGAAATAAAGAAGAGTAAATGGACATGGGCCGGGCATGTAGCGCGTAGACAGGATAACCGCTGGTCATTAAGGGTAACTAACTGGATTCCCAGAGAAGGGAAGCGGGTTAGGGGGAGACAGAAGGTTAGGTGGGCAGATGAGATTAAGAAGTTTGCGGGTGTAAATTGGCAGCAGCAAGCACAGGACCGGGTTAACTGGCGGAACATGGGAGAGGCCTTTGTCCTGCAGTGGACGTAGTCAGGCTGATGATGATGATGATCTACCAACGAACAGCGACCACTGAAATTAGTAATTTTAACGCGAGTGTACAATGAAGTCGCTGTAGTACTAGTATAAAGGGCTTATGCTTCTAGGTGTTATATATTGTTCCGTAACAATTGTGATTGATATTAGTATATTGTTAAACATTTTATCTTCGCGTGTGTGTACGTATGTTATATTCACGAATTTTCCGTTGACGGACAGGAATCGACTCACTTCGCCAAATAAGAAAAAAAAATGGTTTGAGTCTTCGAGTCGGACGTATACATATACGGCGCGACTTCTTCGTGACTCCGGCGCCGCCGTAGATCATACGTATGCTTATATACTTACGAACAATTTCTTCCCCTTTCAGGTGCGCAACGTGCATTCTTCACTGGCTCGTATGGATTGCGATGTCTTCGTACGCGTTGTGGCGCTTCGCGGCCAGCGATGTCAGTAAGTATCGAGGATTTCTAAGCTGAGGTTAACAGAAGTCGCCATCACATGTAATTAATACTACGTTGAATTTATTGCTGTGGTATTACTTGCTAAAGCTGAAACCTAACTGATACGATGACGCAAGTTAATTTTCAGTTCAGAAAACGCATGCACGTGCAATAGATAGTTGCCATCTAACTAGACACGTAGACAGGATTTATTTTCGAGGTAGTCCCAAGGCGTATAATTGTTCGACAGAAAGTCTTTCCCTTGCAAAAAGTCAAACTAGCAGTTGTGTACGAATACAACCGATGAGCGAAGCTCCTCAGAACTTGGACTCAAACGACTATTGATTGATACGTGGGGTTTAACGTCCCAAAACCACCATATGATTATGAGAGGCGCCGTTGTGGAGGGCTCCGGAAATTTCGACCATTTGGGGTTCTTTAACGTGCACCCAAATCTGAGCGAACGGGCCTACAACATATTCGCCTCCATCGGAAATGCAGCCGCCACAGCCGGGATTCGATCCCGCGACCTGTGGGTCAAGAGCAGAGTACATTAGAACACCACGGCGCGGCCGCAAATGACTATACATGTTCCATTTGAAACAGTTTAATAAAAAAAAATTTAATCGAATATTTCCGGTTTCTGCTTGGTCTTGAAAAAGACTGCCCTCCGCTAGTGCAGGAGTATCCTGAAGGGCTTGATTAGACGCGTACTGCCACGAAATATGACTAAGGATGCGAAACTGTTTAATGTTGATGTGCACATGTCCACGTCGTTTGGCAGGTTACGCGGCAATTAAGTCACTGCACATCTTTTGAACGTCCACCAGCACATTGACGCACTGACGGCGGAGTGCAGGCCTAAGAAAGAAAAAAGAGAAAAAAAAGCACACTAAGCAATCTGGTTACTTTCTTCTTCGGCGACTCCTCCAGATACAAACCTTCCGCAGACGTTGAGAGACGTGGCGGGCCACCACCTGACGGAAAGCCCGTACTACGGCGTCAAGAGATACTGGGTGAGTAGAATTTTACGCGTCATTGTGGGGAAAAATACACTCGAGAGCTATTCCATTGTACAAGCAAAGTCCGCTAATAGGCTTCCCCGCCATGTCGAAATGGTGTCCACCATCGCCTCACTTTGTCTCCTCTCCGTTTTGTTTTAAGTTAGGCACCGTCCACTGAACAGGGGGCGCCACATAGCTCTCATCGAATGACCCAGTGTTGCTGACACCAATTGGTAGGGGAACAAGGAAAAAAGGAAAAAAAAACACGGCATATCCACAATGGTCATGAGAGGGCGAAGTATATAGTGGGATCGTTCCTTGTACCGTCGATCAAGCGTTGATTGACTGATTGATATGTGGGGATTAACGACCCAAAATCACCATATCATGAGAGACGCCGTAGTGGAGGTCTCCGGAAATTTCGACCACCGGCGGTTTTTTGACGTGCACCCAAATCTGAGCACACGAGCCTACGACATTTCCGCCTCCGTGGAAAATGCAGCCGCCACAGCCGGGATTCGATCCCGCGACCTGCAGGTCAGCAGCCGAGTACCTTAGCCACTAGACCACCGTGGAGGGGCGTCGATCAAGCGTGACATCGACCACTCACGCATGTAATTGAGTAAAAAACGGTGTGTACAGGCATATACAAGGTTTACTGGTCATAAATGGTATGTCGTGTTAAGTTGGGAATTTCGCTTTGCCTTCATTATCGCTGCTTTACGGTATCGAAAATAGCCGGAATTCGGGAAGAATAAGTCTGTGCACGTTCCCCTGGGGTTATGGTTGTTTCCAGTCATACGAAATGCATCGTAGGGCATACCGAGACATGATACACTGCACAAGCCAGTCGCTGTCCATGATAATCAGCGTCATCAGCGCCACAGCGGCTACGGCGCATACCAACGGACAAGCGGTGGCGGTTTGACTACCACCGTCTTGCCAATAGTTCAGAAAAAAGACACCACACGACGCGACTCATCAAAAAGGGAGAAAATTGTGCGCGCAAGTACGGTTATAGCGTCGCCGCGCGCGTAACTCGAAAGTCGCGCGAGACGACGGAAATCAGCCGACGAAAAGCTACGAGCTACAGTGTACTAGAATTTCTAGCACACTAACTGGGAGCACAAGCGCGGATGGCGTCTTTCGCCTACAATCGGACAACTGTTCGCACCGTTTCGTTCAATCGCAAACGCACGCACACGAACAAATACACACACACATTCTCTTTCTCACTCATGCACTCACTGACAGACATCCATGAAATAATGAGTGAACATATCAATGAAGCGCTTCGAAGCGTTTATGTGCAATGGCATGGCCGCTATTCCTTCTGTTTGATGTAGTGGCCGGCGCTGGCTTATTGATGTAACATCGCGTGAGCGCTTTTTTCTTTCTTTTTTTGCGTGTCTCGCGTCTCGAGAACATTGCAGTGTCTTAGCTCTGCTTTGCCAGGATATACGTAGCGAGAGCTGTGAACACTCCGGGAGCTTCCAGACCTTCGGCGCGCCAGCTCATTGGCCAGCTGCGCGCTGTGTGACGTCACTGGTCCATCGCGGTGGCACACAACTGCTCACCGTAAGCCACGCGAAACTGCTCCACCTCGGCCTACAAGTACAGCCAGACAGATTTCAGTACAAGTTAACCTTAGGATTCTAGGGTTATTGCCCTCACCCTCCCTACTCTAGTCCCCCAAGAGTCAGTGCGCGAAAGTCTTCCTCATAATATAGCGCCTAAAATATGCTAGGCACTGCAACCATAGAATAAATAATCAATTTGCTGCAACCACACAATAAATTGTAGGGAGGGGGGCGCTGCGATCAACCATTGCACCTATGCGGAAGCGCGTGCATACGATGTAATGTGCGTGCACGCCACCGCTGCAGGACCTTTCTGACCGGGAATGGAGGGGAAGCCGCCAATACCTCGTTTCAACTTGGCCCTGGCTTCTGCTGCACTCCGTCATCGGTCGAGCACTCTCTCACGTGGTGCCTTCGGTGAGTGTGCAAGTCTATGCATGTCCAAGATATGATGCCCCCGTTATAGTTCCGACTCCCGGATTGCCTCTGGCACATATAATGTGCGAAAGCACAGCCCTCGAAATTTGTCTCTGCTGCTGGAGAGTGCAAATCGCTGGTACATAAATTTGGAAGGATGAACAGATGTAACAGGCAGAAATAAGGAAGGTTAGCCAGCTCATGGACAGTCTGGCTAGCCTGCGATTGGCAACGGGGGGATGAAAGGAAACAAAAAGAAACGTCACGGGAAGCAAAAAACAAACAAAAGCAAAACAGATTATAATTACGGCACTTTAAGCCCGGAAGTTCCTAAAAAGCCCAACAACTCTTTAAACAGCAGCTTTGCGGGGGATGGTTAATTTGGACAGTGTTCCAGTCCCCTTCTTTTGACCTGCGGATTATTGAATATGTCTAACGTATTGTAAAGTTCGTTTCCAAGCGCACTGAAACTGAAGCAGACACATAGAATATGAGCCATCATTTCTTCGCAGCTACAGTTACCGAACATAGTTGGTCATTCCAATATGAAAGGATAGGCAAATTCACCTTTTCTTGTATTTGCCTATCCTGTCGAGGTGCTCTGAAAGTACTCTGAAAGTAGTACATTAAGAGCACTTTGAAAAACGTTTACTTCGAAAAACGAGGTGACTTTGCTAGCGTAAGTGATTCTTACGCTAGCAACGTGTCTCAACAGAACGATTCTACGAAGTTTACCTTTCACGCAATGTGCAGGTGGTTCCAGTATACCATGCCGCTTACTCTCTGCTTTTCGTGTCCCTCACACTCGGCTGGCACAGCGCCGCGTTCTTCGTCTTCGAACACGCAGTCTTCTTTGCGCTCACCTGGACCGGCGTCCCCTCGCTGTGCTACGTGGCGGCCATAGTGATGGTGGCACACTACGACGTGTTCAAGTACGACTTCTTCCAGGTAAGTCGGCAGCCCTCTGTGGTATCGGGTCATGCATCATCATCATCATCATCATCATCATCATCATCATCATCATCATCATCATCATCATCAGCCTGACTACGTCCACTGCAGGACAAAGGCCTCTCCCATGTTCCGCCAGTTAACCCGGTCCTGTGCTTGCTGCTGCCAATTTATACCCGCAAACTTCTTAATCTCATCTGCCCACCTAACCTTCTGTCTCCCCCTAACCCGCTTCCCTTCTCTGGGAATCCAGTTAGTTACCCTTAATGACCAGCGGTTATCCTGTCTACGCGCTACATGACCGGCCCACATCCATTTCCTCTTCTTTATTTCAACTATGATATCCTTAACCCCCGTTTGTCCCCTAATCCACTCTGCTCTCTTCTTGTCTCTTAAGGTTACACCTACCATTTTTCTTTCCATTGCTCGCTGCGTCGTCCTCAATTTAAGCTGAACCCTCTTTGTAAGTCTCCAGGTTTCTGCTCCGTAGCTAAGTACCGGCAAGATACAGCTGTTATATACCTTCCTCTTGAGGGATAGTGGCAATCTACCTGTCATAATTTGAGAGTGCTTGCCGAATGTGCTCCACCCCATTCTTATTCTTCTAGTTACTTCAATTTCGTGGTTAGGCTCTGCGGTTATTACCTGCCCTAAGTAGACATAGTCTTTTACAACTTCAAGTGCACTATTACCTATCTCGAAGCGCTGCTCCTTTCCGAGATCAGGTCATGCAGCCAAAGCTTAATGTCAGCCATCCTCTCCACCTCACCGCCGAAAGCTTTGTGCACGTAACGTGATCTTGTGCTGCCTCTGGGATTCGAGGCGCTTCAGCTTTCTGCATCTCACGTGGTTTTGCAGCACCGCCACCGAGATCGGCCTTTGGTTGACAAAGCGATTATATCGTATGATGGCATCGTCATATGGCGTCACGTTATACGAGGTAACAGTTATGTCACTAATTTTTGCTTTATGTGACGTCGTGATGACGTCAAAGGGAGTTATCATGTGACGATTTTTTCAGTGCTGACGCCGACGACACCGTCGGTTGCCTTTCACGTTTGACGAGGCATCTAAGGATTTATTGAGGCTTCAATAATAAACGCACGCAGTACAGCCATCCCTTTTCCCTCCACCCTTGATGCTCCATGACCATTTTCTTTGTCGTTCTGCAGAATGTACCTTCAAACTTTATCCAGACCACCACGCAGACTTTTCCACGGGCTTTGGCAGCTTCTAGACAGCGTTACATGTGACAGTTGAGTGCGTTGCTAAATTATTCCCTCCCAAAAGAGCTGTCGGACGATGCCCTCTGCGACGGGCCTCCCGAGGTCCATCAGGCTTTGGTTCGGAAGTGGTCGCCGATATCGTCCCAGGGACCCCAGACTATAGAGTTTTCTCTCATACTTGATTCACAAATTTGTAAACAAAATGTTTCTCTTTCTCCCACCACAGGCAAAGAGAACGCGCCTGGTCGCAAAATAATGTTAAATTTTTTCTCTCCATATCTCCAGATTGTGCTGGAGACGCACGGAGATCACGAATACTACGTCACCGCTGTGTCCTTCTACTGGACGGTGCTCCGATGCTGCAGCTTCTGTCTGGACACCATCCGACACACTACAGATGGTGGCGCCCCCGCCAGAGGAAAGCGTAACCACGAGGCCACCTATTTCAAGACGCTGGCGTACGCGGTGTACTTGCCCACGCTCTTCCTCGGGCCCGTGCAGAACTACAGTGACTTCGCTTCTTCGGTGAGACAACTTTCCTTTTAATTTCACAGCCGAGTAGCAGTGCTTTGCTCGAAACAATGAATTATTGCGCTCAGACTTTTTGGAAGTAATATGATCCTTGCCTTGAACACAGGTTGTCGACTACTAAACATATTAATAAGGGGTCTTTGCTGCCTTGATGAAGACAGGACTCCTTGAGGTAACGATGGCTCCAGCGACACCCTGTGTTCATGATTACTCATTTTATGCCTTCAACTTCACCTTCGGCATAGTTTGGACAGTAAATTGTGACACGTACGGTTGCAAGACGAGAAATCAATATGAGGAAAAACAAAGCGAAAACCTAGCCCTGTACAACAGTGTATTGAAGTCACCTGGCTGATAAAACAGAAGGAACCAAGAGATTGGAAAGAACTGAAATATCGCTTTTCTCGGTTTTCATTTGCTCGATGCAACATATACCTGTGATGATACAATCATAGCAAATCATCAGTTTGGACTCAATGGTAACGATTCATTCTAAATGAAAAAAAAATGTTGTGCTCTGTTCTGTGGTCCCTGTTCTGTACTGCGGCCCACTTCTTGCATTTATTGGATGGTTGCATGTTAAAAAAGAGAAACAGAAAACATATCTTCAAATGTTATAATATGTTCACCGTAAACTCGAGTCTTTGGAGCTTGGATGACATTGCAGCAACACAACCCTTTATCGCCACAGTAAAGTAGACATATATTACGTCCACCGAAATACAAAAGCACTGTTTGATCCATGCACGCTCTCGCAACGTGGCTGTATGCATGCAGATGGAGAAGCCAAAGCCGGCGCTCACAGTTCGTGAGATCGCGACGCTCACCGCCGGCCTCCTGCGATCTGGCGTCCACTTTCTTCTCATGGACTTGTTGTGTCACTACTTTTACAGGTGAGGGACGCTGTTCAAACTTATTTTTGTTCATATGTGGCACGCAAGGAGAACACACAAAGTGTGCATCGTGTCGATACGAGTTCTTGCAATCCTGGTCTGCCCGCTTCTTCATTGCCTGTTTCCCCACAAGGGTGGTAAGAACAAGCCACGGACATGCAAGTAAATCGTCCTAAACAACATGCAGTTTAAAGGGGGCCATGAACAAGGCTAAGAACTCGGTGACAACACGTCCCGCGGAACACAGGTCATGCTGTAGGACCAGTACGTGCAACGGAAATTAAATAATTGCCACGAACAGCACAGCAAAATCTTGCAACCGAGCGCGGCTAAGATTGTTCAGAAGCGGAGCGTGAAAGTGACATTTTCCGAGGCAGCTCCTTTTTCGACGAAGCTCTGCGTTCTCCCTCTTCGTAGCGGCTTATGCCTGCTGTTTGACGTCACACGGCAGATAACACGCTATTGGCTAACAGCCGACATAAGTCAGGAGCAGCGAGTTTGAATCGGACGCCCTTGTTTCCGTGGTGTGCCACCACATGCCGCTGACGAGCTCTATATATAATCTGCTAACATTAACCAGTGAGCCACATTCGCATAAATGAATAGCAACTGGAGAGAGTGATCGCGTTTCATCATGCGCACTCGAAGTTCCTATTCCCTTCGACCTCGCTTAGAACCAATAATATATTGTTCATATTAGTCTATAGAATATGGAAAGACGGCAAATAAGTCGCGCGGACGCCCGCATGGTAGAGTAAGGTTCATAACATATAAAAAAGTAACAGCAATCGAGCCATTTGTTATACAAACGTAGACGCAAGTATGTACATTAACAGAAGCTCCTCAGTTAACAAACCGGAAGCTTTTGACTGGACCATGGAGGACGAACTTTCTGTGATGTGGAAAGCTTCCTTTTGGGCGATTCGTGCGGATTTCTCGAAGCTTCTGTTTTACTTGCGTGTTTGCATTACGTACTCGTGGATCACTGCATTTATCTTCTCAAAAAATTGTCATATGCGTTATCTGGAACACGCACAGGGGTTCACTCAATCATTGCGCCTGTTCGACTTACCCTGGACGATTTCGCGCTTTACTCATTACGTTGTGGCGTACAGCGCCGCACTGATTAAGGCGCCTTCCCTGGTCTCAGAACTGGACGTGACGAGCCTGGTGGGATTGGGCGCCATACTGAACGTGATGTTCTACATGAAGTATCGCATACAGTACGGCGTCTCAGGCGGCTGTGCCAGGATCGAAGGCCACACCCTTCCAGCGCCTCCAAAATGCATCGCGAGGGGGCACCTTTGTTCGCATTTCTGGAGGTAGGTCCCAACTTTCTTTCTTTCTTTTCTGACCTGTAAAGCCGGTATAATCCACAGCGAACACTTGTTTTCTAAAAAAAAAAAAAAGCTTCGTACGATATGTAGCTTGGGAAGTTTACTCTGTACATCACATATAAAGATACGTATATGCAATACTTCTCAGATGTTTTTGTTGTTGCCTTTGAATACAAATCACTTTGCTGAAGATTGGTGTCCGCTCTTTTTCAGGTATTTTGACCATGGCCTCCACCTGTGGATCAAAAAGTAGGTCTACGGCTCCTTCTAGCTGCTGAAGTTTGAATGGTGTGACCTTGAATGGAAAATTAAGCTCATTACGCACGCTAGGCCCTCTGAGCCCGCATGAATCACTCATTGTACTTGCCTTAAACCACACTTATAAGTCACTATTGAACAGGGAAAGGGAAGGAATAGGCGCAGTTCCGTTACTGGCTCTCTCTCAATGGAGGGCACCTCCACAGTTCTGTGCAGGGGATGGGGGGTAAGGAGGAATTAAAATGGATAGGGAGGAATTAAAGGTTTAGAGATAGAGACAAGCGGAAGGAGAGAGCGAGGCGCAGGGACAGCCACATACGGAAGTAAGGAGAAGGTGGGAAAAATGGACACGGTCGCAGAAGTCCGAGGACAAGGCACCACTCAGCTAAAGTGTTCTAGAATTATTCTAGAACACTACAACTCAGCGAGAGCTCTTGTCGGCGTCAGTAGATGGCGTTGGGCGAGCCAGTTGGCCAGAGAGCTGCGCTGTCGTCGGAGATCGCGGGGGAACAACCGGTTGGCACGAAATCCAGCGAACGAGTCCTGCGTTTTTATTACAAGTGCTAACTATACAAGGAATACAGGGACTAAACAACCTCACGAAATCATTCACTCTATAGCTGATGTGTCACCAGCAACCATACAGGTGCTTAGGGTTGGTCAGTTCAAAAAAAAAAACAAGCTTCACAATGTTAATTTATAAATGAAGCGATGACGTGCGTCTCCAGACAGCCTCCTCATGGTAAAAGACACACGGCGGAAAGCAGACGCTGCTGTGAATGGCTCAGAAGTCTCGCAATGGTGCGCGGCAAAGAGAGTTCACAAGCGGAGGACGCACTTGTTCATAAAGGGCCTCAATGCGCGCAGGCGAACGAACGCATCGATGTGCGCTAAGTTGTCACTTCCTAAAGCTCCATCTCTTCGTACAGAGCCTCGTCGTCACTGTCTTCGAAGGTGTTGGCGGCTTCTTTATGATGTCGTATACAACAGACTACTGCGATGGGCAGATATATCTGACATAAACCAAGACCGGCGTTTGGATCGCGCTATAGCTTCTTGTCACGGGGTGCCCTTGGCACCGTGCTCGATAGTGTATACATTACCCAGTGTAGTGACACTACTGCGCAACAGAATCAAACGGGGGAGATGATGATGATGATGATGATGAACCTTCAGCTTTGCTGGCACTCGCCCACAAAGGGGTATCGGCCAAGAACCGGGCGGCAGGATCAACTGTGCTAATTCAGGCATTCAGGTAGTCTCGTAGCCGTAAATAATAACAATAGGTCAAGAGGGTAATCTCTTTGTTGCCCTTATGCACTCGCACACAGCAGAGAAAACCTCCCTGTGGCTATAACCTAATGTAATCCCTCCGAAGGATAAAATTAGTTCCGCGTTTATTTTTGACTGATCGCGTTTCATGACACGCGCTTAAAGTCACGACACGCGCTGACGTATATTCATTCCAACACGTCTCTTCGCCTCTGACTCCACCCCCCCCCCCCCTCTTGCGTAGCTTCGAGCGCGCTAGTCTTAGTGGACCATTGGGTAGACGAAGCGTTGAAGCGTGCGAGGAATCCCCGTGAATTCGCCCGTACTTGTAGGGTTCGAAAAATTTTTGCGGCGATTGATTCGCGAAGCAATAGATTTTGATACTGAGGTCATTTGATGATTACTTTGAAGAGTGATTCAGGACCCCTTTTAGGTACAAGTTATTGCGTTATTCATTGCACAAAAATTTCATGATCAATACCGTTGTTTGCTCACTGCCCTGCCTCTTCGCAATGTTTGACGACGCTTATATGATACCTAAGGAAATAAAATTAATAGATGACTTAACCACATTAAATTCCCGCTTCCTTCACAGGTACGTGTACACACCCATAGTGGGCCCCGAAAAGAAAACACAGTGGCGGGTTCTTGGCGTCGCTGCGGCCTTCACGTGCGTCTGGGTCTGGCACTCGATGACCACGGCGGTCACCTTCTGGGCGACGCTCAGCTTCACCGGCATCGCGCTAGAAGTGGTCATGGCTCACATCAAGAGGCTCGACTGCGCCAAGAGCTTCGAAGTACGTCAGTCAACGAGAAAAAAAAATTAAGGATTGATGAAATAAGTTTATTATATAGATTCGATGGTTCACGTTATAGTGTCCTAGCTAGAAGCATGCCACTCGCACGTTGGGACCGAATAAGGCCTATTCACCTTTTCATAAACGCCTCCCTGGGCGCCGCCATAGCCCTCCTTGGGCTGTGCAAATTGGCGCGTCCCCTCGAAAATGCACTGACAACGCTGCGCCCTTAGCCTTCGTACTCCCGCGCACAGCCCATCATGGCGGTGTTTTTTTTTTTTTCCTTTCTGTGAAAAGGTGTATAGCCTTTATGCCGCTTCACGTTGGGACCGAATAAGGCTTGTAGTCTTTATGCCGCTTCACGCCCCCGTTGGACTGCCCATATTACTTGTCCGTCTAACGAAGGCTCTCTTATCAAGGAAATAGGCGCAAGCGAAGTTTGGTGCGCGTGAACCTGTTATACCACTTTTGTGTCCTTCTTTTCTTCTTCTTCTTATAATTGTTTCTTTGTGCCTTTTTTTTCCTATTCACGGAGGAGGCCAAGCGCCTCTGATTGGTTGCAAGTGTGCTGTGAGGGGCCATTGTGCCTCATGGCACTTGTTCTGGCACAGACGCCGCAGCGTGAGGTCACGCGTTCACATTCAAGCAACAATGAAGTGTGGCAACGTTATCTCGATAAAAAATTTCGACACGTTATCTCGATAAAAAATCAGAATATTGTATGAGCAGCGGCTGATAACCGAAAAGCCCACGATATGAGAGAGCACATGGTATTAAAAAGAACGGCGCGTACAAATACGCAAATGTGACCGGCGAGCAGGGGAAAGTTTCGTACGCGAGAAACCCAGCCAACGCCGGCTTTCCTGTGCACCACAACGCCGCCATCAAAATCTGCAACTACAAGCACGCATCACCAGAAAAATAAGCAGGAAACGTAGTTTCTTTGGAGAAGGAAACAAACTAGCATAGGACCTATACGTCACGTAGTCCTTACAAGTAAAGGAGGCCTTATCGGCTTCGCTTCTTCCAACGCGCACGTCTGCAGACTTGTGCTTTTTTCGACCAGTACGTCTTGATCGAGTACGTCTTAATTCAAGCGCTTCGCGAACCCTAAACTGGCGTAAATGTGCATTGCATCGATGTCAATTGGTTTCATTGATTGCGTTAAAATGAATGCGCGCCCACACTCCATGGTACTATGATTAAACGGAACGGATAACTAACATACCTGATCTAGTTACCAAGTGTGAAACGTTTATGAGAAGAAAAAAAAAGTGAAGTAGGGCTAGAGCGGAGACGTATAGCGCAATCATGTGACACCACCCATGTACGATAAGGGAAAAATAAAACCAGGCATGCGGGATTGAAACCAGTGTTGGACTACAACAACAACAACAAAAAAACTGGCAGCCTATCCACGGAGTGAATGATGGAGAGTGGGGCGAAGCATTCGTCCGTCCATTCGTTCTTGCTTCCGTCCGTCCATGCGTCCGTCTGTGTGACCGTCCATGCGTCCATCCGCCCGTCCGTGCGTGCGTCTGTTCGTGCGTCCATTCCTGCGTTCGTCCACGCATCCGCCCCTGCGTCCGTTCATGCGTCCATTCATGTATCTGTCTGTGTGTCCGTTCGTCCATCTATTCAACACTCCAAGTACCACCATCTCGCATCTTTTCATCATATATTCCCCATATAGAAGCACCGCCATCCAGCAGACATTCCAAGGACTAAACGAGAGGTGGCACACGCACACTTTCTTACGGCTTGCGCTTTGGGTCTACTTCCCACCTTTAACCACCTCGAGTTCATGGTATATACTACAGTTCACTGTATTCATGGCACTGCGGCCCAACGCTCGCTAAACCTTTCTAAAATCAAGGAGGTTACGCCCAGCGAGTATAACATATATATAGCAACTTTTTCCTGTCAGATAGTGCTCAATGTACATGCCAATGGCTGCTAATGGGAAATGAGAGACAGGAGAACTCTGCTTTTACTTTCTAACGGCTTGCGCTTCGTATCTACTTCCCACCTTTAACCACCTCGAGTTCATTCATGGTATATACTAGTTCATTGTATACATGGCACTGCGGCCCAACGCTCGCTAAACCTTTCTAAAACTAAGGAGGTTACACCTAGCGAGTATAACGTAGCCACCCTTTCTTGTCAGATAGTGCTCAATGTACATGCCAATAGCTGCTAATGGGGATCGCAGCGTGCGCGTTAACTAAAAGCCGAATGCTCGATCCTGTCTCTCATTTCCCATTAGCAGCCATTGGTAAGTACATTGAGCCCTATTTTTTATTGTTCAACAACCCACAGAAGAAATCTCTCACCGGCACCACCTTGGAGGTCAAAATGTTATACTTGTTACACACTACAACGGCTGCGAGGGACGAACGAGGGTTGCTATAAGGAGTTTCGCCCCTAAAAAATTATGGAACATCTCCCCGAAAGGAAACATGACGGGATTCAAAGCAGCAGCGGTGCGCACAGCGTTGACCCTGCTGAACAGGGCGTCGACGCGGGTGCTGGAAGAACGGTTTGAAGCGAAACTCGAGGAAACGTTTCTTTGAAACGCAAAAACACGGGAGGCGGCTTGGGTTTCGTGTAAGTTTCATCGCAAATAAACGAGCCAAAAGAGTGTTTCCACTCGACGTGTGGTCCAGCGTTGCAAGGGCGGAGAGGGTGCAGGAAGGGAGAAGTGTTGTGAGCAGGCGGAGGAGCAACACCACTTTGGTGTGTTAGGAGGAGCCGGCAGCTGCTGCGGGTGATGGAGAGAGTGGCATAAATGCGTATCTGCGAGTTGACCTACTTGGCATCGTTTCAACAACTGCGGCGGCGGGGAATGCGGTGCGGCGCGTTGGCAAGGAGACATGGATGGACAGCGTTACACGGGCTAGTCAACGAGTTGATTCGCATCTAAAACAATGGAAACGGTGTCAATGGTTAATGTGGCGACATTTTAAGAACACACTGTCGCGTTTAACTGCCACCACTACCATAATCATTCTTTTTTACCCATTAATTAAAGGACGATGACCTTTCCCAATGCTCAATGTTGTATAATTTGTGAGTGCTGGTTCACTGTTATAGCTGCGAACTTCTTGACTTTGTCATTTCATCGATGTTTCTACTGTTCTCGCCTGCGTTTTACATGAATTGGTATCACCAGATCGAATTTATTCGATTTACTGTCGATAATGCCATATTTCAGCATTTGATTTCAGTGCTCTTCTTTGCGAATGCAACTCTTCTGCCTATCCTGCAGGCAAAGTACCTGAGCCCTGAAAGAACAAGGATCGTGAAGGCCATACTGGGGTCTCCACACTACCTGCTGACCATCACGGCGTGCATGTTTTATCTGGTCGACATGGAGATTACGACTATTTTCTTTAAGAGAGTCATTCTCGGTAAGTCGACACTTCGCATTGGACGCTGTACACGCAGAAGCTTGGAGTGTGACACAGGAACTCGATAAGTTGGAAACCACGCAGCGAGCAATGAAATAAGAAATCGCCGGAATAGGACTCTAACAGACGGACAACATACTAAAGAACAAACAAGGGTAGAAGATATTCCACCTGATATTAAGAGAAACTAATCCCACCCTCATATCACCCCATCTCACCCTGACTTCACTTTCTCACCCTCGGGCTACTACCATTTATGGCTATGCTGCTCCAGAATCCGCATCATGACAAATGCTCTCTTTCCCATCCCTTGCTATGCTACACTCACTGTAATGGTTAAACTATGGTTTGCCCTTTCACCTACTTCTTTCCCTCTCTTCACCGTATCATCAGTCCTTCTCACACTTCATTTTCCCATCTCCTTGCTAAGCTACCTGTACGATGCATTATACCTCTCACCTCCTCCTTTCTGTCCTCCCTATAACTCTCAGATACTGCTCTTCACATCCCTTTCTCACCCCCTTGCTATACCCTACTATGCGCATGGTTACACTAGGCTAGGAGCTACCTTGCACATACCCGCTTTCTGCGGCGCATACCCACCGAGTGTTCGGTCTGTGACATCGGCGTTAGCAGCTTTGTTGTTTAAATGGCAGCTCTGTTGTTAAAAATGGAGCCGGGTAGCTAACGTTATGAGGGCAGATACAGCGGCGTAATGAATACCAAGAGGTGGGAAACGCGACAGAGGACAGCAGCAGCGTAGGTGATGCTACGAAGTTTAGAAGTTTAATTGCAATTCAAACCCGACAAGAGCTTTGTCGCACCGGCTACACTGGCCGAGGTCGAGCAGTTTTGCGTGGCCTAGAGTGAGCAGTTCTGCGAAAGCGCTAGGAGCAGTGACACCACGCGGCGCACACCTCCTGGTACACTGAAGACCTTCAAGGTCCTGGAGTGACGTGTCTCTAGTAAGCTGGCGCTCAACTCGCGTGAGATCGTTTACTCGCTAGTCTGTTCGTCCTTCTATCTATTCGTGCTCGTCCATCCGTCGGTCCATGGTTTGTCTGTTAGTAGCTTACGCTACGTATATCCTGACATAGCCGAGATAAGCCACTGCTAACGTTTTTTTTAGTATAACGGCTGGTCTGCGTAGTTGTGAGAGCTAACGACGTCATGTCGCAACGAATCTGGTCTCTAAAGATAATGATGGCTCTCCTCAACGAGTTCGAGTTGAAATCACGCTGATATCAACTCTACAAGAACTTGTTCTTGGGCGATTTGTTCCCTTAGTTTGCCGAACATTTCGTAACTGGCGCAAAGCTATAGGAACATGAAAATGAGGGGAAAAAAAGACATACGGGCACCAACGTGTGGCTCCCGTCTGTTATCTTTCCTCCCCTTATTTTCACGTTCCTATAGCTTCGCGCCGGTTACGACACGTTCGGCAAACTACGCTGATATGACCAGAACTGCAGGCTGTGGAAACGAAAGTATGTGATATATATTTAGGCCAAGATTACCCTGTTATGTGCGAAGCATACACTCTAAAAAATATCGAGTAAAAAGGCTGTCTTTTTGTCCCACAACAATAATCGTCATCAGGTTTATTACGTGCGCTTCCTTTCTTGAAAACTCGGCGCTGGCCACTTTCCTATCGAGAATGCAATGCAACCCTGATAATGTGCATGTCGATCGTGATCGGAATGTACCGGGCGCATGGTGATAGCGCAAGGATAAAACACAATATAGATGACGATTATTGTTGTGGGACAAAAAGACACCCCTTTTACTCGCTCTTTTTTTTTTAGAGTGTAAGCGTACGCCGAGTTCTCCTTCAGTAAATGCGATGGTTCGTCGCAGCGCCCCCTTTCCCAAATATGTCAATGTATGGGGCTTGCTTTGCACCCTCCTCTCTGAGTAGCAGCGCCCCTTATCCCTATTACATATATGTAGAGAGCTGATGGTTATGAGCGCCACAAAAAGTAGGGCGAGCTCCACTACTCGCTTCGGGTGCAAACAAAATGACGAAAACAACAGTTAACCCAACACTTATACACATAGCTAACGACGTTAGTGTAGGTGAAACCATAGTTATAGTATATGAAACCAGAGTTTCCTATACGGCATCTAGGTAAGGGTGAAACACCCTTGCCTATAGGTGCCGCATAGGAAACTGATTCAAAGTAACGGAAATATAGCACGCAAATACGGTAAGGCAGTACGGTAGCGCCCCTCCTTTCCAGTGACAGTGCGTCCTCCGGTCGCGACAGGTCCCTCAATAACGATGCGTATACTGACAGGCTACAACGAGGCGTGACAAAGCAATAGTAATTTTTGAAGTATTTTTTTGTGGTGTTTGGGTGCCTTCACTGGTAAAAGGTCGATGACCGGGAAGCGAGGAGCGGTACGGTAGTAACGTACCGTATTTCCGTAACTTACTAATAGACCCTAGTATTTCACGTCACGGAAATTTCGCATATGCGCAGGGTTTCCGGTGCCTCTAGTTCCGGTGCTGGTGTCCCTGTACTTCGGAGCCTACACTTCTCAAGACGTGATGCAGCGTGAGGCCGAAGCAGCTGCTGCGAAAGTTAAGGAGCCGCACGTCGTTGCGGAAGCAAGGAGAAGCGGCCCCTCAGCAGCAGACGTGGCCAGCGGCTACGCAGAAGCCAACGCAGTGAAACTACAATTCGCGGAACTGCCTTGAACGGTGCTTAACAGGACGCTTAGGACCGACAAATAATGGTTTCCTTCGGATTATAGGCATTGCATCCTAAGAAAAAGTGTCAGCTCCCCTGCGTCTTCTCCGGACTGTAATAAAGTTCACTTGTCATCATCATCCACCCGCACCCATTCTTGCCCCTCCCATTGTACTCCCACAGAGAAATTGCAAAAATGCAACAGCGCTCACCCATTTTCGTGACACAAAATACCTGTCAAGCATTTCAGACGGTTAATAATAATTATTGCAGATTTTACTTCCCAAAACCACAATAAGATTATCACAGATGCCGTAGTTGATGGTTCCGGAAATTTCGACAACTTGGCCTGCCTTAAAGGGGAACTCCGGTGCATTTTGGACTACGTTGAGATGGTGTTATTTTACAATAGTATTAACAACCCTGTAACGGCTAGAGTGATCGATTTCGTTGAGAGACTGGTCAATGATTTTATATAAGCAACAAACCATGAGTCAAAACCGAAAAAGGGAGCTGCTACGTTAGAGTGACGTGCTCCATGGGTACACAATGACTTCATTCCACAACTACTACTTACTTTTTTTCTTGGCGTATTATTATTTGTGACACACACCTTTGTTTGAAAGAGTTTTGTTTTTATGAAAAAAAAAACTGTTCAGTTTTTTCTCGCCGTGTTTTCACAAGGGGCACTTGAAGTGTACTCAGCTTTAACAATGCGGCGCGGGATGGAACTTGCCCACCTTTAGGCGTTGTATTGTGCCTGGGACAATAACACAATGCAAAAATGCATGTGTCAAACCACAACAGCGTGGCAAAGCTGTAGTGATACAGCTTGAGAACGTTGGTACGTGCGTAAAAACGCGCAAAATGAACATACAGAACGGAAGAACGAAAAGAAACTTGTTCGTATACGGCTAATCAAGCAATGGCGTTGCTCGTGCAAGAATCAAAGGTAATAAAGAAAATTGTAAATTACACGCGCAGTCAACTGACATACGCTCAGTGACAGCTTCGCACAGCACTGTAAACTAGCACCAGTGCTCATGGTTACCAGTGGTTTTCTAGCCACATGCATGCCACTTTGCTCGATTAAATCTTAACTCGTCTAGCGCTTTATTTTGAACAGAGCCATCATCATCATCATCATCAGCCTGACTACGTCCACTGCAGGACAAAGGCCTCTCCCAGTTAACCCGGTCCTGTGCTTGCTGCTGCCAATTTATACCCGCAAACTTCTTAATCTCGTCGGCCCACCTAACCTTCTGTCTCCCCCTAGCCCGCTTCCCTTCTCTGGGATTCCAGTTATATACCCTTAATGACCAACGGTTATCCTGACAGAGCCATAAGGGTATCAAAAGAAAGAGTGAGGACGGCTATATTATAAGCTATAGTGCTGGCTTATTCTCGCTTCTGAGGTAGCATACAAGGCTCACCGAGCGCAGACTTGTAGCTAAATTCCGACATTTGAAAGAAAGGAATGTCAGGTAAAGTTACATTACTCCACAAGATTGCGCGTAAAAGACGTATTATAAAAAAATGCTCTGCCAATATTCAGATACCATGAAAAATACCAATACCCTATTTTTTGCTGTACAAGTTTAATAGCTGCCTAAACAGAAATCCGGGAAGTTTACAAATGTGAAGACGTTGTTTGGGAGCCAGCTGTGGTCAATCAAGCGACGTGTTTCTTTTTATCGACATGGATTGATGAACGTCAGTATTATACGTTTCCGTGAGGTGCTTGCATATCTTCAAGCCTTCCCCACACGCAGTCAAAACAGTGTTAAACTAATTTTTAACTTCACTTATATTGAAGTTTTATAGTGCTTAGCATTGGCACGGCTCAGAAAATTTACAAAAAGATATATACCAGTAATTACATGAAGTGTAATTATTCCCCCTACGGCAATTGAGTGCGCGCCAACAGGGCACACGGCTGCACTTCACTGCTTTTTAAAGACGATAGTCTTTCTTGGGGACTTTCGACGCCAAAGTTATGATCTGTCTTTTTGTACATTTGTCTGCTTGTCCACGGTAACAATTTTCCTTATGGCACCAAAGTGACTAAACGATACCTCAAACGGCTAAACCCATCCACAGCGCCCACCAATATTGCTCAAGTTTCAGCGTTCATACTTGTGCGAATGTCAGTTAAAAGCCAATTATTGCGCATACCTGAGGCACCACAGCAACACGTCGATGTTTTGTATGTGTGCCTTTACAATAGAGAAGGAACACACTAGTAATTCTAAGGACTGTAGCGTTTATCACGCTGCGCTGAAAGTGCAACGCGATGCTCAAAAAGGCAAGTGTTTCCAACGCTTCGCTAAGACGACACGGTGGTGGCACCTGCACGTCACTTTGCGTTTTACACCTTATCGCCTCCGAGACAGGCACGCATATTTCTCCGCGGGCGCGCACGCCTTCCTTCGCTTTCGAAGATAACTGCCAGATGGCGCTCGTGTACAACGTGCCTCGATGCACTCACTAGCTTTTGCTGCCCGGATCGAGACTCTCTAACGCAGCGCTTCCAGTATAAAATTCTTCCATTTTCTGGCGCAGAACATCAAATAAACGTTTTATTCACTCTCTCCGCACGCAAGACTATCGTCTTTCGACGGCATTTGCAGTGAAACATGCAGATACGGGGCCAAGTTTTTCCTGGTGAGCTGAATACAGCGTACACTACCCCCTCCCCCCCCCCATTTTTTTTTGCTGAGACACCATGCTACTGCGAGATAGCTCAAAATTTTCCCATTTACAGACGCAGCGTATCTGTCATCTTTCCAATAAGTATAGAGATATGACCTGATATAGGTGAATCACGCCTCCTGTGTACCATGAGAGCTGATTATCCCATTTGTTTCCGCATTTTGGCTCATAACATGAACTGAGGCGAGCACGGTGGTGCACTGTTGGCGATTAATTTACTTTGGCGTGTCCATTTTTGTTTCTCAAGATGAAGGCCTTAGCTGCGTCACCAAACACGGCAATTAACCGCCGGCGTCCCGCATCAACACGAGTGATGCAAAGAAATTAACAAGTGATGGAGTGACAGATTGATAATATTTGTGGCATCTTATTCAGTGTGTGTCATACGATGACATGGTCACTCGGCATGGTCACTTTGTGTTACATCCGTACCCCGATCACGGAGGCCGTAAACCTTGCAATGTCTTCGATCATGCATGGCGGCAGTGCGAAACCACTCTATAGGGGAAGAAAATTTTCGGAGGGAGGAGGGGAGGGTCACGGAAGACAAAGAAAGGCAGGGCTTTCGCCGTCGATTAGTCTTCGGCGAAGGCACAGGGACCTTGTGAGTTTCTTTTTATTTAGTATTTCAGCTACGCGGTCATTTCTCCAAATTGTATCGGTATAAGTCCAAAATTTTGAGATTGATATTGCTGATCACCGCGCTTTCAATCCCTTGTTGCATGAGAGAAATCATCAGACGGTGCATAGTCAAAATTTCTGGCCGAAAGAAATTGGGTACGCGCCACACACCATATTGTTACCATTAGTCCTTAGAAAATCACCGTAGCATGTCAAATTGGTGCGCTGTCATTGACATTTTCAAGTGAATGAGACGCGAAAGCTACGAGGGTTAGTTTTTACTTTTGGTACAACTACCGCGCCGTCGAAGACACATTCCGCTTCCCACGAAAATGCTTGAAGCAGCAGAATGCGGAACACAGCCATGAAAATCAAATTGATTGCACGAAGTAAAATATATATATATATATATGTATATGAAGTGTGGAAACGCGCTACCATGAGATATATCCATTTACTACGTGCATATATGTGTGCGAAGAGCGCTAAGGCAACCCAGCGTCAGCATGCGCGTCGGAGCGGCTGATTGCTGGAAGACGAGGAAGAAGAAAAATCCCGTTATTCAGACAGACGTTCTCTCTTTTTCTAGCAAGCGCTGTACAAATATATATATATATATATATATATATATATATATATATATATATATATATATATATATATATATATATATATTATAATGTACAGTGTGGCCAATCCCCCTTTTGGGTATGTGTCAAAATCTTCTAGGCGACAAGACAAGACAGACAGACAAAAAGAGGGGGGGGGGGTCGCGCAGGCGAGACAATTTGGACCGCGGTCAGAACAGGGCGTTCGGTTACCGGACCCGCATCGTATACGTTCTTCCGGTTATCTTTGCTATCTGCAGCTTATTCTCTTCTACAGCACGCTAACATTCCTCATTCTTACGAAACTAAATCAAGCACCTGCATTCACGACGGGAGCGCACCGAATGCGTTCATCAAACGGGCACGCAAGTGCGGGTGATTTAGGTGACGAAACAGCTTGAAAGGAAATATACAAGATCCCTGCTGCAGAGCTAGCTACTAAATGTGTTACATGTGCCGCGAGTCGCTACAGTATACTGTTGGAGCGACACAATAATAAATCTTGTCCGTATTACCGGAACGTTGGCTAACATCAGCCGAAATATCTGGTGCGCAGCAGACGCCCGCTGCTTTGACGCGGCCTTCGCTGCGGAAAAAGCCCACGGGTCCTATAGAATGCTACCTGAAGTATGGGGCGGCGGACGCGCCGCACTGAGAACGCAGGGCACGGCTCTGAAGCGCTGGTACAAATAAGCATGTTCTCTACGGGCTGGTTTCGGTGTGCTTTGGAGACTTGTGGGCATCGCTGCAGTGGCTGCAGTTTCCGAAAGCCTAGAGCGGCCACTGGAACCAGCAGCACCTACAAAAGACAATGTTAATAAGGTTATTGTTGTGATTCAATGCCGCTTGCAGAATGAAAATGAAATAAGTCGCCTACTTTATTACCTGCAGGTCAACAATCGAATTCGGTGTGCGCTTTAACAAGACTTCTTTCCGTGCAAGACAGGCAGAAGTTCGAAAGGAGACGAAAAAATTTGTGAAGACGGGGTGTCGCTGTAACCAATGTTTCCACAATGGGACATTTTTTGCAAGGCTGCTTGTTGAAACATCGGCGCCAGCGACACGCTGTGCTCGTGAATTTTTCACCTCTATTATTTAAGAAGGAGTATTCTTTATACTTTATACAAGAGTATTAGAAACACCTGTCTCTAAGTGTTTCAGTACACTCTGCGGGATATTTGGTTTTACTGCATCACCTGTA